GGCTTTATGTGTTTTACCTTATTCCTCCTCACAACAACCCCAGGCCCTTGGGGACATAACCAAGGCCAGTCTGGCATAAAGCAGAGCATCTGGCTCCCAGGCCAGGGTCCCAGTCACTGGGTGCTCTGACTCCCTGATCTATTGCTCACATTTCCATGCCCAGACCGCCACTCTGCCCTGCAGGATTACGGGGACAAACAGGACTTGCCTACTCTCAGATGGCTCCCTCTGGCCTACTCTATTTCCTCTGCCCCCACTTCACCTCCTCTGAAATTCCCCCCGAGACTTTCTTGTTGCCCACAAAACAGCAGTAGGGGAAGGGCCTCTGTGACATTGTAGCTGAAATGCACGTTATCTAAAAGGGAGAATTCTCCCTCTTAGTACGTTACTTAGATGAATTTCAGATGAAATAAACCACATCTATGATTTTCGTTTTTTCACTCTGTTTATTTGTCCCTCTTCCTAAAATGGCTTCCCCTATTTCTATATATATAAATGAAATCAGTCAGCAAGTATTTCTCGCGGTCTGCTACAGGGCACTGTGTTTACAGGCACTAAGGATAAAGAAGGGGGAAACAAAGCTACACACGCATTCCTCAAGAATCTTACAGTCTTGGGCCGGCCCCGTGGCTTAGCGGTTAAGTGCGCTCGCTCCGCTTCTGGCCGCCGGGGTTCGGATCCGGGCGTGCACCAGCACACTGCTCCTCTGGCCATGCTGAGGCCGCGACCCGCATACAGCAACTAGAAGGATGTGCAGCTATGACATACAACTATCTACTGGGGCTTTGGGGGAAAAAATAAATTAAAAAAAAGAATAAAAAAAAAGAATCTTACAGTCTTGTGAGGGAGTTAGAAATTAAACAATAATTACATAAGTAAAGTTGTAAATATAAATTGTAATCAGTGCTCTCAAAATCAAGCGTGCAATGCTTTGAGTATATGACCAGGTGTCTTAACCTTGTCAGGCTGATCAGGGAAAGCCTTCTTAGAGAAAATGACCTTGAGTGATGCGTAGGGGTTAGCTAGGCATGGAAGGTGGAAAAGAAGAACTTGGATGAGGGAGCCGAGCCTATGAGAGCCCTAAAATGGAAAAGAAGTTAAATCTACATCCTACATAGCCTCCAAGTTCAGCACGAATCAGACATGCTCCTGAAAACTTACTAAAAATTTCCCCTCAGATAGTTAGTGTCTCTACCTCATCCTTTGTGCAAATTCTCCTAGCATTTTATTACTGACTCTTTCATAATAATAATTACATTTAATTAGACTTATAATATGCCATTCTCTTCTGTAAGCAATTTACCTATTTTTCTCATTTACCCCTCACAAGTCTAGGAGATAGTTACCATTATTAGCCCCATTTTACAGATGGGTAAACCAAAGCAGAGACTATTGAATAAATTTTCCCAGTTCCCAGGTCATAAGTGGAGCAGTTGGCCGGCGCTCTTAACCAATGCCCCCTATGGCCTCCTTATGATACTTTCTCATCATTTCTGTGCATGTCTTACCTCCTCTACCGGATGATAAACTCTGAGAGAAGGGGCCAGGGTGAATGAAGCCATTTATTTATTCATTCATTCAACCAACATTTATTCCATGACTACTATTTGCCAGGTACTGTATACCTCCATGCACCCACCCCAGGGCATTGAAGGAATGAATGAGTGAATGATCACATTACACAACTCAGAGAGCCTTGCCTGGGGCAGGAGATGGAAGGCAGAAGCTTTAATGGGGGCCAAGAGCAGCAAAGGAAGACTTCACATACGTCACCAGAGAGCACATCTCATCATTCTTGTCCAGCAAGGAGGGCTCCTGAGCACGACCAAGCACCTGACGACATGTTAGGTGGCTTCATATGTTACTTCACTTCAGGTACAATAGCCCTGTGGGTAAGGTTTGTTGTCCCAACTTCATGAATAAGAACACTGGACTTTACAGAGTATACGTGACCTGCCAAAGCCAGACAACTAGGAAATGGCAAAGCAGGGGCTTACCCCCAGCCTCGTCCTAGGCCAAAGTCTCCTTCCGTGCAGCCTCCCAGACTTTATTATAGAGTCTTTCCTTGTTAAGCTGAAGAAGGTCAAAGGCCTAAAAAGTATGCCAGTTTCCTAACTACAGTGTTTATTGATGAAACAATCAACACACACACACACACGCATGCACATACATGCACAGACACACACACAGATATGATTACCAAACCAGTCAGAACAGGAGGTATCTTGAGAGAAAAGAGGTGAGTGTGTTGGAAAGGAACATTCAGCAAGCTTCTGAGGTACTGGCAATGTTCTGTTCCTTGCCCCTGGTAGCAATTACATGAGCATTCACCTTATAATTCATTAAGATATAAATTTGTTTGGTGCATTTTTCTGTGTGTGTGTCATATGTCACCATGAAAAAGTTTTAAATGAAAAGTCTTGCCGTTTCTTCCAGCAAAATACAGCCTGCCATAGATTATAGAGGCAGGTGGTCCCGGTGAGAGAGGCATTTATGTGTCGAGTTATTTTTCAGCAAGATACAATGGGACAAGTTTTTGAGAAGGTGGCATAGATGAGATGAACTCATCTTTTCCCTAGCCCTGGTTGTAGGCCCCAGTGATGCTCACTTTAACTGGTCTGTATATGAGCCCAAAATGCAAGAGCAAGGAATACATAGGCCAAGTGATATTTCCAGCCACAGGTCATGGAGGGAGTGGGACTTTACTGTAAGAGATTATCCTTCTGGAAATTCACCAAGAATAGCTAAAAGATACTGGGCAATGTTACAGTCTGCAAGCAACTGCTTGCGCAAGTAACACAATTATGTTCCCTAGTTTGCTGTCCCTCTAAGCCACTGCCTGGGGGCTGGCACGTAGGAACCTCCATTACTCCATTCATGAAAGACAGCAGAGACTGGGTGGCTAGAGTGTGAAAGGGCCATGACTCCACAAGAGGAGGCTCGTGGGAGAATAGATGATCCAGGCTGGAATATGACCCACAGCGGAAATTCTGAGAACCATCACTCAAATATAATGTGCTGCCTTGCCACGAGTCTCCATTTATTATATTTTTTCCTTATATTTTTGGCTGATTATTTTAGGTGCAGTGGATCTATTTTGGTTTTCCCAAAGCAATATTTTAGCTATAGAACATCTGTCACCTTGAGAGTCTGAGTGAAACTGTTCATCATTTTGTAACAGAATTCTAATATATCAGACATTGATTCTATTAGTAAGTAGCTAAAATGTGCAGAGTACACCAAATTCAGAAGACTGTAGCCCCCAACACCACACGTGTGCACACACACACACACACACACAACCCTAGTTCTACCTGTGCTACATGACATACCCTATGACATTTGTGTCCCCAAAGGATATGCATCAACTGTTTTGTTTTCTTTCTTTTTGCTGTTATTTTTCTCTTTTTTCCCTTTATTCCATTTTCGTAATTACTGACAATGTACTCATCTAACGAGCAGCATTTCAAGTATTGTTTTAGAAACGTCATTGATATTGAATTTTTCTACTCTCTTGACTACCTTCAAAATCGAGTAAGTCATCGGCTTTGTGTAAATAATTCAGAGGGCTGTCACTTGATAACTGTGAGACCTGGGCAAGTGATTTAACCTCTCTGAGCTTCAGTTTCCTCATCTATAAACAGGAGCAGTGATGCATGGCTCACAGGATAGCAGAAGAACGAAATGAGACAGCATATGTAAAGCAGAGAGCCCAGGGCACGGCCAACAGAAGGTACATAAATGTCAGTCGTTTCCCCTCTCCCCTCAGCCTACTGAGGTCTCCAGAGGATACAGCAAACAAACACAAATGACACGGTGTGTCCTGTGCATTAAAAATGTGATGTTCAAAGGCATAGGATGTTCTAGTTTCTAAAACAATCATTGTATGTCCAAGAATAGCTCTGTTTATGACTATGGGTTTTTATCATCTGGGTTCACTCAATCCTCAATGCATCAGTTAGTCTTTCACATTAGGTTTAAATTTCACTTCTCCCAAAGAAGTCTTCCCCTGGCATTTCGGCTCACAAAGATCTCCCCCTTTCTCAAATTCCCCTTCTCTGAGTGCATTAAACAATACCTTATGTGTGTGTGAGTGTGTGTGTGTATAATTTATATATATACGTATATATATAATTTTTCTGAATCAAATTGTAGACCTCTAAAGCAAGGATTGTAACCAATGCCTATTTACGTTCCCAGAACCCAACACAGTGCCCTGCATTCAAGCAGCTACTAAATATATGCTTGTTGATTGATTGATTGATTGATTGATTGGTAGACAGGACTTAACTACTTTGTTGTAACTGTGTAACAGTCCTGTAAAATCTAGAGTTCATACAGGGGAGCAGCACATTCCCAAGGAATCCAACCACCAATTCCCCAACAGCTTCCCAAATGGTACCCCTTGAAGAAGTTGGGGAGGAGTCACTGAAGATCTATGATTTGAGCCAGGCTGAGATCTACTATAAATCCAGCAGCTTAATCCACTGCTCCCCTAGCTAAGCAATGAGCAGTGTTTCTTCCCCACTGAAAACAAAAACATTTGTCCAGCTTAGCAAATGTCAGCACGGCAGCATGAAGAACAAAAAATCGAGTGCCATTTCCATGAAGCAAAGTTACTGGGCCAACAGCAGATGCATCCATTGGCATCAGGCAGGGTCCATTATGTAAGCAGCGGTAACACCAGAGACCAAGAGCACACAAAGCCCAAGCTTTCAGGCCTGGTCAAAAGGCCCATCTATTGTCTCTGACAGACAGTGCCAGAGATAAAGTATCCTGGAGACACAATGTAAGGCAAGCTGAAAATGCATGTGCCAAGCCAAAGGGAAAGCAGGTCTGCACAATGGTAACTACTGAAGGAGCAGCTGGTCCTGGTGGCACCAGACTGTGTCTTTCAGCCCATGTCATCAACACTTGTGTATATAGTAAACATTTACTGAAGAGGTGCCTGTCAGTTTCCATTTATTTATCAATAAGTGAATGAATAGCATCCAACTTACACATTTTTCATGGTCTTTTTTTTTCCCTTGAAATTCCGAAACCAGATGAGAAAGGACATCACATAGCAGAGTGATAAAACAAGGAGAATGCAGCTCTGTCTTGGAAGGAGAGTTGACGACTGACAGATGATGCCCGTTGAGACAATGGAATGAGGCAGTTGCAGGCTATTGTTGGAACAAAAGGAGGTCAAGTCTTATTCTTTTCTCCTGCCTGGATACAGAGTTGGTCACAGCTTTTCTTTAAAAAGAAGAAGAAGAAGAATGCATCCCTAAATCAAGGCTTCCCAGGGCAGCAGGCACAATCCCGGCCCTCCTTAGCTACACTATCTTGGTTGGTGGACAAATATTTCTGACCTTTTATGTTGAACTTGCGATCTTCTGAGGCTGAGCTGCCACTCTAAAAAAGTCCTTTTAAATGCAAATTACCATAGTCATCTCATTTTATCCATCTTCTCTTGGAACTATCAAAATAAACTGAAAATATAAAGCTATACACATCCAGAATCATCCTTTATGGAGGTTTGTAGAGTCCAGTGGTCACTAATTAGTGTCCTATCAGTACAAATAGCCTTGGAGTTCTTTTTTCCTCATCAGCTCCCTCTTTACAAAATGCAAAATAAAAATAAATAAATTGAGTCAAATCTGTCTTGGGCCAGAGGGTGATTTGGAAACAATACAAAGATGCAGAGGACTAAATAAATGCACCTTCTTTGAAACAAGTGATGACCTTTTCTAGGATCAATTCAGATAGGGCTTCCTTTTACAAGACATCATGGTGCATAACAAATGGCCTGCCAGGGCTTTAGGTTCAAACCTCAGCTGACATCTACCAGTCTAGTTGGTAGATTGATTACATTAATTCCCCAATTCTTCACCCCTTCCCGTGTCCAAGTTCTGATGCTGATTTCAGCCATGTGACTTTCTTTGGCCAACGGGTTGTTATCAGACGTGTTGCAAACAGAGGGTTAAAAAGATGCTTGCATGTTTCAGGTTGTGCTCTTGCCCTCAGCCACTGCCATGAGAACATGCCAGGGCTAGCTTAGCGGATGATGAGGAACAAGCAGAACATAGCTGAGGTGTCCTAATCACCCCAGCCACAGCAATTCTAATCTGCTGATAGTCAGCTGACCCCCAGGCATGTGAGTGAGCACAGCTCAGACCAGAAGAACTGCCCAGCTGAGCCCAGCCGAAATCACCAACCCACAGACTTGTGAACTAACTAAACACTTAATATTCTAAGGCACTAGGTTTTGCAGTTTTTGTTATGTAGCATTATTGTGGCAAAAGATAACCGATACACTACATGATACTGGACAAATCACTTTACAAGCTTTAGCTTTCTTTAATTTTTTCATCTGCAAAATGAGTGTACAATGACTTTTTCACAAGGTGGTTGCCACGATTAAATTCATAAAATTAGACAAGGTATGTGAAGTTGTTTATCTCTGTCCTGGCACATAATTGGCATGTAACCAGTGAGCGTTCCTTCTGTGCCTCTCATTCTGCCTTTAGATCTCTCCCATCAGAAGAAATGCCTCCTTAATGTTCACGCTATTGATCTCCATGCACTGTAGAAGCTACATGAGCCATAGTTGTGCCCTGTTTGGAGTACTTCAGTGGAGTCAACAGGGCAGATTGCCAGACATTTAAACACAAAGTCCCTTGTGATACCAAGAAGATTCCTACAATGTGCCTGGAATTTCTCAGATCACTTCAAAGACTTAACTCACTTGAGACCACAAATCTAGGTTGAAGCCTAGAGAAATACCATTGACTTCCCACAGCCCTACAGCTGTCTCTGAACGTTGGAGTCCACTCTTCCAGCAATGAAGCAATCCAAAAGAACCATCCCTCAAGTAATGATAGAATTTTGAATAAACACACAAGCTCCCTTACCCTAAGATGGGATAATTCTGGAGTGCATGGTCTATACTGTCTCCCGGAAATTCCCAGAGGGATTGAATCCCAATTTCCCACAACAGTAATGTCATCTCTAATGCATTCTTTACTGGATGTATTTCTGTTACTGTTTTACTTCCCCAGTCACCTAACAACATTTCCTAGGATCAATTCCCAAATAAACAGCTTGCATTTCAAATCCTTTCTGAGGTATGCATCTGGAAATTCCAAACTTAAATAATCATGGAAACCCGTCTTTGGATAGAACCCATCTGAAAACCCAGATTCCAAGAGCCAGACCTAAGAAGAGTAAGAGAACAGAATCATCCCCTCATTTTAACAATATTTAATAAGGGTACACATTGAGTTCTCAATGCCCAACGTTCCAGGCAGGCCTTCAGCATCTCCTTTCTGGGATTTCGTAGTCATCATCTAAGTGGTCTCTCCTTTTTCCAGAATCCCTTTCCACTTCTCTGCACTATACATTTCCACAGAACTGCCATATAGCTCTGCTGCTTAAAGTTCTTGTTTCCCACTCCTCAGGATGAACCCAATCTCCCTAGAATAATATATAAGATCCTTCGTGATCTGGTCATCCCTACCTCTGTCTCCTGCCTTATTCCTTATCACTTCCTTGTACCTTCCATCTTAGCTATACTAAATAACTTGCACTTCCTGACTCTGTATACTACACTATATTTCCCTGCAGTTGCACAAACTATTTCCTCAATCTGAAATCCCTTCCTCTCACATAACTACCTGCTGAATCTCAATTCCTCCTTCAAAATCCTGATTCAGAGATGGAATGAATCGGGCACCCTTATCTACTGTCTTGCTGACTATCCCTCTAAAACTTATCTGTAATCCATCCATTTCACTCCAGGTCCACCCCAACACCCTCATCAGATCCCCCTATCTTACTCTCTCATAGCACCATCTACCTTCCCTCATTACATTTGCCCGAGTTTTAATTTTACATTATATGTGAATCTGTCTCACATAATTATATATATTATATATAATATCTATCTCCTTCTTCAGATGGTAAATTGCTATGAGAGTAGAGCCAGGTCTACTTTTATTCACTATGGAGTTTCTGGTACAGTACGTGCCACACAGTAAGCATTCAATAAATATTCATCAAAGTAATTTGTGAATCACTTCCTTCTATTTACAAAATTTTCCTTTGAAATCACTTATATCATTTCACACCTAACACTCTGTATTAGTCAGTGTTCTTCAGAGAAACAGAACCAACAGAACATATAGAGATAGCTGTAAGAGGTGATTTATTATAGGAGTTGGCTCACACAATTATGGATGCCGAGAAGTCCCATGATCTGCTTTCTGCAAGCTGGAGAACCAGGAAAGCTGGTAGTGTAATTCAGTTTGAATCTGAAAGCTAGAGAATTGGGGAGCTCACGGTTTAATTCCTGGTCTGAGTCCAAAAGCCCAAGAACCAGGAGCACTGATGTCTGAGGATGGGAGAAGATAGATATCTCAGCTGAAATAGAGAGAGTGGATTCACCCTTCCATCCCCTTTTTGTTCTCTGCAGTCCCTCAATGGATTGGATGATGGATGCCCATGCATTGGTGAGGTTGATCTTCTTTAGTCAGTCTACTGTTTCAAATGCTAATCTCTTCTAGAGGTGCCCTCACAGACACACCCAGAAGTAATGTTTTACAAGCTATCTGGGCATCCCTTTGCCCAGTCTAGTTGACATGTAAAGTTAACCATCACACACTCAATAGCAAATTTTTGCTCACATGTCAATTTCCACCACATAATTATAATCTTGAGGGTCTCAGGACCTTCATACCGTGCTCTGTAAGAACTCGCCATTCGTTGAGGTCATCTGCTGAATTAAGGTTTCTGAAATTGTAAGATTATAATGCACAGAGAAGAAGGTTTGCCAGGCAGGCTTTAGAGATTGCATAAGATTTCAATTGGCAGAGATGATGGCTTCAAAAATGGCTTGAATAAAAGTAGAAATGCAGGTAAAAGCAAGTTGTGTAGGAAATAGTAAGTTGTCACCGTGATTGGAAAGTGATTGGAGTGTGAGTAATGAAACAACTTAGCTGACAGGTTTTGAATGTTTATTAAATGCCAGGCACTATTATAAACATTTTACATGTATTAACACTTTTTAAAAATAATGCAAGATAAAGCTAGAATAAAAAGTAAGATTCAAAATGTAGAAGGCTTTGAATGTCATCTAAGGAAATATTCTTTATCTGATGGCGGATGGAGATTCATTAAAGGTTTCTGAGTAAACATATGACATCTCAAAGACATGCAGTAGGAATATTAAGCTGGTGATAGCAGATGGGAAATCTAGAAGAAGAAAAATTTGGGGATATAGAGACTGCATTGGTCATCTCTAAAGATATCTATGAGAGTTTTCAAAGAAAGACCCACAAGACATGCCCCCTTATCAGATGGCATGAGAACCAAGAAGAAGTAAAGAATTAGTCCATGTACTTGATCATGAATAGTTAACCAAAGGAGGAGGAAGTATGAAGAATGAAAGGATGAAGAATGGCTAAATAAATTTTGGTAAATCCAAGTCGAAATTATTAGACGACTCAATAAGTAGCATGTCTAGTCTGTGCCTAAAATAATTGAAAAATAAGGCAAATGAGTTAGATGGATTAGAGACCAAAACATGACCTTTATTATTAATAAAGTTGATATTGGATAAAGTGGTTATATCTGAATAAGAAAGGCAAGTGGACTTTCTCATACTAATGCTCAGGGTTAGACAGACTGCCCATCACGCAGAGCTGGTCAAGGGAGGTCTCCTCATGGAGCAGACAGAAGTGTACGCTCCCTGCAGGCAGCTGGTTCCCAAAGAGCGAGAAAAGAGGAAAGAGAATTCCCGCTTTCTCCTCTAACCTCACCAATCATATCCCGTCACTCCAGCTCCCTTGGGGCAGAGTTAGCGGGAGGGTGAAGAAGGCAGGTTCTTATGCTAATGGAGCTCATTCCACATGGAAGGGCACACGAGATGTGAAGAATAAATGATCTTCCCTAACATTTTATACCAGGGATTGACAAACTACAGCCCCTGGGCCAAATCTTGCCCACTGCCTGATTTTGTACATCCCCGAGTTAAGAAGAATGGTTTTCATATTTTTAAATGATTGAAAAAAATCAGAAGAATGATATTTCAAGACACATGAAAATTGCATGACATTCAAATTTTGATGTAAATAAATAAAATTTTATTGGAACATATGCATATCCATTCATTTGTATATTGTCTATGGCTATTTTCATGCTACATGGCATGGGTGAATAGTTAGGACAGAGACTGCAGGGACCCCAAAGTCAAAAATATTTACTTTCTGATCATTTAAAGAAAAAGTTTGTCGACCCTCGATTTATACTATTGAATTCTATGCAGCCATCAAAACAGAGAGGTGGAACTATATACTGGCCTGGAAGGCGGCCCGCCATATTCCACGGTGAACAAAAAGTAAGTTGCATATCATCTGATATAGTGCAAGCCCAGTTTATTAAAGATGCATATACAGCTAGACAGAAAGATACTTACATATCTACCTAACAATCCTCACCAAACTGTTAGCAGCGATGACTTGGAGAGTGGGAAGGTATGGAGGGTAAGAAAGCTTGGAGATTTGTACACTTTGTACTGCTTAAAATTTTTTATAATGACCTTCGTTTTTTTTTTTTTGTTTTTT